TCATCTTTCTCTTGCTTTTTATTCCAACATTTTAGCGATTTCTTCTTCTTCAGCTGTTAAATTCCTAGTCAGACTCTTTAAGTTGTTTAGAGATTATGACATGAAGTATTTATTTTCATTCTTCCACATATTTTATTCTTATTTGTTTTCTATCATCTCTTCATCTTTCTCTTGCTTTTTATTCCAACATTTTAGCGGATTTCTTCTTCTTCTTCAGCTGTTAAATTCTAGTCAAATTCTTTAAGTTGTTTAGAGATTATGACATGAAGTATTTTCATTCTTCCACATATATTTTTATTCTTATTTGTTTTCTATCATCTCTTCATCTTTCTCTTGCTTTTTATTCCAACATTTTAGCGGATTTTCTTCTTCTTCTTCAGCTGTTAAATTCCTAGTCAGACTCTTTAAGTTGTTTAGAGATTATGACATGAAGTATTTTCATTCTTCCACATATTTTATTCTTATTTGTTTTTCTCATCTCTTCATCTTTCTCTTCATTCAACATTTTAGGATTTCTTCTTCTTTTTAAATTCCAACATTTGACATGAAATATTTTCATTCTTCCACATATTTTATTCTTATTTGTTTTTCTCTCTTCATCTTTCTCTTGCATTTTATTCCAACATCCTAGTTCTTCTTCTTCTTCAGCTGTTAAATTCTAGTTAAGTTGTTTAGAGATTATGACATGAATTATTTTCATTCTTCCACATATTTTATTCTTATTTGTTTTCTATCATCTCTTCATCTTTCTCTTGCTTTTTATTCCAACATTTTAGCGGTTTCTTCTTCTTCTTCAGCTGTTAAATTCCTAGTCAAACTCTTTAAGTTGTTTAGAGTTTTTATGACTTGAAGTATTTTCATTCTTCCACATATTTTTATTCTTATTTGTTTTCTATCATCTCTTCATCTTTCTCTTGTTTTTTTTTATTCCAACATTTTAACATTTAGTTTTTCTTCTTCTTCAGCTGTTAAATTCCTAGTCATACTCTTTAAGTTGTTTAGAGATTATGACATGAAGTATTTTCATTCTTCCACATATTTTATTCTTATTAGTTTTCTATCATCTCTTCATCTTTCTCTTGCTTTTTTATTCCAACATTTTGTCGGATTTCTTCTTCTTCTTCAGCTGTTAAATTCCTAGTCATACTCTTTAAGTTGTTTAGAGATTATGACATGAAGTATTTTCATTCTTCCACATATTTTATTCTTATTTGTTTTCTATCATCTCTTCATCTTTCTCTTGCTTTTTTATTCCAACATTTTAGCAGTTTCTTCTTCTTCTTCAGCTGTTAAATTCTAGTCAGACTCTTTAAGTTGTTTAGAGATTATGACATGAAGTATTTTCATTCTTCCACATATTTTATTCTTATTTTTCTATCATCTCTTCATCTTTTCTTGCTTTTTATTCCAACATTTTAGCGGATTTCTTCTTCTTCTTCAGCTGTTAAATTCCTAGTCAGACTCTTTAAGTTGTTTAGAGATTATGACATGAAGTATTTTCATTCTTCCACATATTTTATTCTTATTTGTTTTCTATCATCTCTTCATCTTTCTCTTGCTTTTTTTATTCCAACATTTTGCGGATTTTTCTTCTTCTTCAGCTGTTAAATTCCTAGTCATACTCTTTAAGTTGTTTAGAGATTATGACATGAAGTATTTTCATTCTTCCACATATTTTATTCTTATTTGTTTTCTATCATCTCTTCATCTTTCTCTTGCTTTTTTATTCCAACATTTTAGCGGATTTCTTCTTCTTCTTCATATTCTTCAAATTCTTTAAGAAGTTGTTTATGATAGTATTTTCATTCTTCCACATATTTTATTCTTATTTTGTTTTCTATCATCTTCATCTTTCTCTTGCTTTTATTTCCAACATTTTAGTTTTCTTCTTCTTCTTCAGCTTTTAAATTCTAGTCATACTCTTTAAGTTGTTTAGAGATTATGACATGAAGTATTTTCATTCTTCCACATATTTTATTCTTATTAGTTTTTTCTATCATCTCTTCATCTTTCTCTTGCTTTTTATTCCAACATTTTGTTTTTCTTCTTCTTCAGCTGTTAAATTCTAGTCATACTCTTTAAGTTGTTTAGAGATTATGACATGAAGTATTTTCATTCTTCCACATATTTTATTCTTATTAGTTTTTCTATCATCTCTTCATCTTTCTCTTGCTTTTTTATTCCAACATTTTAGTGGATTTCTTCTTCTTCTTCAGCTGTTAAATTCTAGTCAAACTCTTTAAGTTGTTTAGAGATTATGACATGAAGTATTTTCATTCTTCCACATATTTTATTCTTATTAGTTTTCTATCATCTCTTCATCTTTCTCTTGCTTTTTATTCCAACATTTTAGCGGATTTCTTCTTCTTCTTCAGCTGTTAAATTCCTAGTCATATTCTTTAAGTTGTTTAGAGATTATGACATGAAGTATTTTCATTCTTCCATATTTTATTTTTTGTTTTCTATAGTCTCTTCATCTTTCTCTTGCTTTTTATTCCATTTTTTTTATTTTCTTTTTTTATTCCAACATTTTGTAGTTTTTTTCTTCTTCTTCAGCTGTTAAATTCCAGACTCTTTGTTGTTTAGAGATTATGACATGAAGTATTTTCATTCTTCCACATATTTTATTCTTATTAGTTTTCTATCATCTCTTCATCTTTCTCTTGCTTTTTATTCCAACATTTTGGCAGATTTCTTCTTCTTCTTCAGCTGTTAAATTCCTAGTCATACTCTTTAAGTTGTTTAGAGATTATGACATGAGTATTTTCATTCTTCCACATATTTTTATTCTTATTTGTTTTCTATCATCTCTTCATCTTTCTCTTGCTTTTTTATTCCAACATTTTGCGGATTTCTTCTTCTTCTTCAGCTGTTAAATTCTAGTCATATTCTTTTAAGTTGTTTAGAGATTATGACATGAAGTATTTTCATTCTTCCACATATTTTATTCTTATTTGTTTTCTATCATCTCTTCATCTTTCTCTTGCTTTTTTATTCCAACATTTTATTCGGATTTCTTCTTCTTCTTCAGCTGTTAAATTCCTAGTCATACTTCTTTAAGTTGTTTTTATGAGATTATTTTCATTACATATTTTATTCTTATTAGTTTTCTATCATCTCTTCATCTTTTCTTGCTTTTTTATTCCAACATTTTAGCGGATTTCTTCTTCTTCTTAGCTGTTAAATTCCTAGTCAAACTCTTTAAGTTGTTTAGAGATTATGACATGAAGTATTTTCATTCTTCCATATTTTATTCTTATTTGTTTTCTATCATCTCTTCATCTTTTCTTGCTTTTTATTCCAACATTTTAGCGGATTTCTTCTTCTTCTTCAGCTGTTAAATTCTAGTCATACTTTTAAGTTGTTTTAGAGATTATGACATGAAGTATTTTCATTCTTCCACATATTTTATTCTTATTTGTTTTCTATCATCTCTTCATCTTTCTCTTGCTTTTTATTCCAACATTTTAGCGGATTTCTTCTTCTTCTTCAGCTGTTAAATTCCTAGTCAAACTCTTTAAGTTGTTTAGAGATTATGACATGAAGTATTTTCATTCTTCCACATATTTTATTCTTATTTGTTTTCTATCATCTCTTCATCTTTCTCTTGCTTTTTATTCCAACATTTTTGAATTTGGATTTTTCTTCTTCTTCAGCTGTTAAATTCCTAGTCATATTCTTTAAGTTGTTTTAGAGATTATGACATGAAGTATTTTCATTCTTCCACATATTTTATTCTTATTTGTTTTCTATCATCTCTTCATCTTTCTCTTGCTTTTTATTCCAACATTTTAGCAGTTTCTTTTCTTCTTCAGCTGTTAAATTCTAGTCATACTCTTTAAGTTGTTTAGAGATTATGACATGAAGTATTTTTCATTCTTCCACATATTTTATTCTTATTTGTTTTCTATCATCTCTTCATCTTTCTCTTGCTTTTTTATTCCAACATTTTAGCGGATTTCTTCTTCTTCTTCAGCTGTTAAATTCTAGTCAAACTCTTTAAGTTGTTTAGAGATTATGACATGAAGTATTTTCATTCTTCCACATATTTTATTCTTATTAGTTTTCTATCATCTCTTCATCTTTCTCTTGCTTTTTATTCCAACATTTTGCATGGATTTCTTCTTCTTCTTCAGCTGTTAAATTCCTAGTCAAACTCTTTAAGTTGTTTAGAGATTATGACATGAAGTATTTTCATTCTTCCACATATTTTTATTCTTATTAGTTTTCTATCATCTCTTCATCTTTCTCTTGCTTTTTATTCCAACATTTTAGCGGATTTCTTCTTCTTCTTCAGCTGTTAAATTCCTAGTCAAACTCTTTGTTGTTTAGAGATTATGACATGAAGTATTTTCATTCTTCCACATATTTTATTCTTATTAGTTTTCTATCATCTCTTCATCTTTCTCTTGCTTTTTATTCCAACATTTTAGCGGATTTCTTCTTCTTCTTCAGCTGTTAAATTCCTAGTGAGACTCTTTAAGTTGTTTAGAGATTATGACATGAAGTATTTTCATTCTTCCACATATTTTATTCTTATTTGTTTTCTATCATCTCTTCATCTTTCTCTTGCTTTTTATTCCAACATTTTAGCGGATTTCTTCTTCTTCAGCTGTTAAATTCCTAGTCATACTCTTTAAGTTGTTTAGAGATTATGACATGAAGTATTTTCATTCTTCCACATATTTTATTCTTATTAGTTTTCTATCATCTCTTCATCTTTCTCTTGCTTTTTATTCCAACATTTTAGCGGATTTCTTCTTCTTCAGCTGTTAAATTCCTAGTCATATTCTTTAAGTTGTTTAGAGATTATGACATGAAGTATTTTCATTCTTCCACATATTTTATTCTTATTTGTTTTCTATCATCTCTTCATCTTTCTTCTTGCTTTTTATTCCAACATTTTAGTATTTCATTCGGATTTTTTTCTTATTAGTTTTCTTCTTCTTCAGCTGTTAAATTCCTAGTCAATACTCTTTAAGTTGTTTAGAGATTATGACATGAAGTATTTTCATTCTTCCACATATTTTATTCTTATTTGTTTTCTATCATCTCTTCATCTTTCTCTTGCTTTTTATTCCAACATTTTGCGGATTTCTTCTTCTTCTTCAGCTGTTAAATTCCTAGTCATACTCTTTAAGTTTGTTTAGAGATTATGACATGAAGTATTTTCATTCTTCCACATATTTTATTCTTATTTGTTTTCTATCATCTCTTCATCTTTCTCTTGCTTTTTTATTCCAACGGATTTCTTTTTAGCTGTTAAATTCTAGGATTTTCTTCTTCTTCAGAAATATTTTCTGTTAAATTCCTAGTTTTCTATCATCTCTTCATCTTTTTAAGCTTTTTATTCCAACATTTTTAGCGGATTATGACTTGAAGTATTTTCATTCTTCCACATATTTTATTCTTATTTTTTTATTATCATCTCTTCATCTTTCTCTTGCTTTTTATTCCAACATTTTAGCGGATTTTTCTTCTTCTTCAGCTGTTAAATTCCTAGTCATACTCTTTTAAGTTGTTTAGAGATTATGACATGAAGTATTTTCATTCTTCCACATATTTTATTCTTATTAGTTTTCTATCATCTCTTCATCTTTTTATTTGCTTTTTATTCCAAAATTTTTAGAATTATGGATTTCTTCTTCTTCAGCTGTTAAATTCCTAGTCATACTCTTTAAGTTGTTTAGAGATTTCTTGACATGTTAAATTATTTTCATTCTTCCACATATTTTATTCTTATTAGTTTTCTATCATCTCTTCATCTTTCTCTTGCTTTTTATTCCAACATTTTAGCGGACATTTTCTTCTTCTTCTTCAGCTGTTAAATTCCTAGTCATACTCTTTAAGTTGTTTAGAGATTATGACATGAAGTATTTTCATTCTTCCACATATTTTATTCTTATTTGTTTTCTATCATCTCTTCATCTTTCTCTTGCTTTTTATTCCAACATTTTAGCAGTTTTTCTTCTTCTTCAGCTGTTAAATTCCTAGTCATACTCTTTAAGTTGTTTAGAGATTATGACATGAAGTATTTTCATTCTTCCACATATTTTATTCTTATTTAGTTTTCTATCATCTCTTCATCTTTCTCTTGCTTTTTTATTCCAACATTTTGTAGTTTTTCTTCTTCTTCAGCTGTTAAATTCCTAGTCATACTCTTTAAGTTGTTTTTAGAGATTATGACATGAAGTATTTTCATTCTTCCACATATTTTATTCTTATTAGTTTTTCTATCATCTCTTCATCTTTCTCTTGCTTTTTATTCCAACATTTTAGCGCGGGATTTCTTCTTCTTCAGCTGTTAAATTCCTAGTCAAACTCTTTAAGTTGTTTAGAGATTATGACATGAAGTATTTTCATTCTTCCACATATTTTATTCTTATTAGTTTTCTATCATCTCTTCATCTTTCTCTTGCTTTTTTATTCCAACATTTTTTATTTTCTTCTTCTTCAGCAAGTCACTCTTTTTGTTTAGAGATTATGACATGAAGTATTTTCATTCTTCCACATATTTTATTCTTATTTGTTTTCTATCATCTTTTCATCTTTCTCTTGCTTTTTTTATTCCAACATTTTTTGATTTCTTTCTTCTTCTTCAGCTGTTAAATTCCTAGTGAGACTCTTTAAGTTGTTTAGAGATTATGACATGAAGTATTTTCATTCTTCCACATATTTTATTCTTATTAGTTTTCTATCATCTCTTCATCTTTCTCTTGCTTTTTATTCCAACATTTTTGGATTTCTTCTTCTTCTTCAGCTGTTAAATTCCTAGTCATACTCTTTAAGTTGTTTAGAGATTATGACATGAAGTATTTTCATTCTTCCACATATTTTATTCTTATTTGTTTTTCTATCATCTCTTCATCTTTTCTCTTGCTTTTTATTCCAACATTTTGGATTTCTTCTTCTTCTTCAGCTGTTAAATTCCTAGTCATACTCTTTTAAGTTGTTTAGAGATTATGACATGAAGTATTTTCATTCTTCCACATATTTTATTCTTATTAGTTTTTATCATCTCTTCATCTTTCTCTTGCTTTTTATTCCAACATTTTAGCGGATTTTTCTTCTTCTTCAGCTGTTAAATTCCTAGTCAAACTCTTTAAGTTGTTTAGAGATTATGACATGAAGTATTTTCATTCTTCCACATATTTTATTCTTATTAGTTTTCTATCATCATCTCTTCATCTTTCTCTTGCTTTTTATTCCAACATTTTAGCGGATTTCTTCTTCTTCAGCTTTGTTAAATTCCTAGTCATACTCTTTAAGTTGTTTAGAGATTATGACATGAAGTATTTTCATTCTTCCACATATTTTATTCTTATTTGTTTTCTATCATCTCTTCATCTTTCTCTTGCTTTTTATTCCAACATTTTAGCGGATTTTTCTTCTTCTTCAGCTGTTAAATTCCTAGTCAAACTCTTTAAGTTGTTTAGAGATTATGACATGAAGTATTTTCATTCTTCCACATATTTTATTCTTATTTGTTTTCTATCATCTCTTCATCTTTCTCTTGCTTTTTTATTCCAACATTTTGCGGATTTTTCTTCTTCTTCAGCTGTTAAATTCTAGTCAAACTCTTTAAGTTGTTTAGAGATTATGACATGAAGTATTTTCATTCTTCCACATATTTTATTCTTATTTGTTTTCTATCATCTCTTCATCTTTCTCTTGCTTTTTATTCCAACATTTTAGCGGATTTTCTTCTTCTTCAGCTGTTAAATTCCTAGTCATACTCTTTAAGTTGTTTAGAGATTATGACATGAAGTATTTTCATTCTTCCACATATTTTATTCTTATTTCTTTTTCTATCATCTCTTCATCTTTCTCTTTGCTTTTTATTCCAACATTTTTGCAGATTTCTTCTTCTTCTTCAGCTGTTAAATTCCTAGTCAAACTCTTTTGTTGTTTAGAGATTATGACATGAAGTATTTTCATTCTTCCACATATTTTATTCTTATTTGTTTTCTATCATCTCTTCATCTTTCTCTTGCTTTTTATTCCAACATTTTCGGTTTCTTCTTCTTCTTCCTGTTAAATTCTAGTCATACTCTTTAAGTTGTTTAGAGATTATGACTATTTTCATTCTTCCACATATTTTTATTCTTATTAGTTTTCTATCATCTCTTCATCTTTCTCTTGCTTTTTATTCCAACATTTTAGAGATTTTTCTTCTTCTTCAGCTGTTAAATTCCTAGTCATACTTTTTAAGTTGTTTCCATGAAGTATTTTCATTCTTCCACATATTTTTTTCTTATTAGTTTTCTATCATCTCTTCATCTTTCTCTTTGCTTTTTTATTCCAACATTTTTAGCGGATTTTTCTTCTTCTTCAGCTGTTAAATTCCTAGTCATACTTTTTAAGTTGTTTAGAGATTATGACATGAAGTATTTTCATTCTTCCACATATTTTTATTCTTATTAGTTTTCTATCATCTCTTCATCTTTCTCTTGCTTTTTTATTCCAACATTTTAGCGGATTTTCTTCTTCTTCTTCAGCTGTTAAATTCCTAGTCAAACTCTTTAAGTTGTTTAGAGATTATGACATGAAGTATTTTCATTCTTCCACATATTTTTATTCTTATTAGTTTTCTATCATCTCTTCATCTTTCTCTTGCTTTTTTATTCCAACATTTTTTTTTTTCATTCGTTTTTTCTTCTTCTTCAGCTTTGTTAAATTCCTAGTCATACTCTTTAAGTTGTTTAGAGATTATGACATGAAGTATTTTCATTCTTCCACATATTTTATTCTTATTTGTTTTCTATCATCTCTTCATCTTTCTCTTGCTTTTTATTCCAACATTTTAGTGGATTTCTTCTTCTTCTTCTTCAGCTGTTAAATTCCTAGTCAAACTCTTTAAGTTGTTTGAGATTATGACATGAAGTATTTTCATTCTTCCACATATTTTATTCTTATTAGTTTTCTATCATCTCTTCATCTTTCTCTTGCTTTTTATTCCAACATTTTGTAGTTTCTTCTTCTTCTTCAGCTGTTAAATTCCTAGTCAAACTCTTTAAGTTGTTTTAGAGATTATGACATGAAGTATTTTTCATTCTTCCACATATTTTATTCTTATTAGTTTTCTATAGTCTCTTCATCTTTCTCTTGCTTTTTATTCCAACATTTTAGCGGATTTTTCTTCTTCTTCAGCTGTTAAATTCCTAGTGAGACTCTTTAAGTTGTTTAGAGATTATGACATGAAGTATTTTCATTCTTCCACATATTTTATTCTTATTAGTTTTCTATCATCTCTTCATCTTTCTCTTGCTTTTTATTCCAACATTTTAGCGGATTTCTTCTTCTTCTTCAGCTGTTAAATTCCTAGTCATACTCTTTAAGTTGTTTAGAGATTATGACATGAAGTATTTTCATTCTTCCACATATTTTATTCTTATTAGTTTTCTATCATCTCTTCATCTTTCTCTTGCTTTTTATTCCAACATTTTAGCGGATTTCTTCTTCTTCAGCTGTTAAATTCCTAGTCTTCTTCTTTAAGTTGTTTAGAGATTATGACATGAAGTATTTTCATTCTTCCACATATTTTATTCTTATTAGTTTTCTATCATCTCTTCATCTTTCTCTTGCTTTTTTATTCCAACATTTTTAGCGGATTTCTTCTTCTTCAGCTGTTAAATTCCTAGTCATACTCTTTAAGTTGTTTGTTTATGAGTATTTTCATTCTTCCATATTTTCATTCTTATTTGTATTTTATTCTTATTTCTTTCTCTTCATCTCTTTTTTTTCTCTTGCTTTTTTTCCAACATTTTTTGGATTTCTTCTTCTTCAGCTGTTAAATTCCTAGTCATACTCTTTAAGTTGTTTAGAGATTATGACATGAAGTATTTTCATTCTTCCACATATTTTATTCTTATTAGTTTTCTATCATCTCTTCATCTTTCTCTTGCTTTTTTATTCCAACATTTTAGTGGATTTTCTTCTTCTTCAGCTGTTAAATTCCTAGTCATACTCTTTAAGTTGTTTAGAGATTATGACATGAAGTATTTTCATTCTTCCACATATTTTATTCTTATTAGTTTTCTATCATCTCTTCATCTTTCTCTTGCTTTTTATTCCAACATTTTGTTTTTTTCTTCTTCTTCAGCTGTTAAATTCCTAGTCAAACTCTTTAAGTTGTTTTTATGACAAGTATTTTCATTCTTCCACATATTTTATTCTTTTAGTTTTCTATCATCTCTTCATGTTTTCTCTTGCTTTTTATTCCAATATTTTTGATTTCTTCTTCTTCTTCAGCTGTTAAATTCCTAGTCAAACTCTTTAAGTTTGTTTGACATTATGACATGAAGTATTTTCATTCTTCCACATATTTTATTCTTATTAGTTTTCTATCATCTCTTCATCTTTCTCTTGCTTTTTATTCCAACATTTTAGCGGATTTCTTCTTCTTCTTCAGCTGTTAAATTCCTAGTCAAACTCTTTAAGTTGTTTAGAGATTATGACATGAAGTATTTTCATTCTTCCACATATTTTATTCTTATTAGTTTTCTATCATCTCTTCATCTTTCTCTTGCTTTTTATTCCAACATTTTAGCGGATTTCTTCTTCTTCTTCAGCTGTTAAATTACTAGTGTTTATTATGACTTTTTGTTCATTTTAGAGATTATGATTATGAAGTATTTTCATTCTTCCACATATTTTATTCTTATTAGTTTTTCTATCATCTCTTCATCTTTCTCTTGCATTTTTTATTCCAACATTTTTGGTTTTCTTCTTCTTCTTCAGCTGTTAAATTCTAGTCAAACTCTTTAAGTTGTTTAGAGATTATGACATGAAGTATTTTCATTCTTCCACATATTTTATTCTTATTAGTTTTTAGTTTTCTATCATCTCTTCATCTTTCTTCTTGCTTTTTTATTCCAACTTTATTTTTTAGGATTATTTCTTTTCTTCTTCAGCTGTTAAATTCCTATCAGTCTTCATCTTTCTCTTTAAGTTGTTTAGAGATTATGACATGAAGTATTTTTGTTTTCTTCCACATATTTTTTATTCTTATTAGTTTTCTATCATCTCTTCATCTTTCTCTTGCTTTTTTTATTCCAACATTTTGCGGATTTTTCTTCTTCTTCAGCTGTTAAATTCCTAGTCATACTCTTTAAGTTGTTTAGAGATTATGACATGAAGTATTTTTTCATTCTTCCACATATTTTATTCTTATTAGTTTTCTATCATCTCTTCATCTTTCTCTTGCTTTTTATTCCAACATTTTAGCAGATTTTTCTTCTTCTTCAGCTGTTAAATTCCTAGTCAGACTCTTTAAGTTGTTTAGAGATTGTTTATGAAGTATTTTTCATTCTTCCACATATTTTATTCTTATTAGTTTTTTCTATCATCTCTTCATCTTTTCTTGTCCTTTTTATTCCAACATTTTGACATGGATTTCTTCTTCTTCTTATTGTTAAATTCCTAGTCATACTCTTTTAAGTTTTTTTTAGAGATTATGACATGAGTATTTTCATTCTTCCACACATTTTTTTATTCTTATTTGTTTTTATCATCTCTTCATCTTTCTCTTGCTTTTTATTCCAACATTTTAGCGGATTTCTTCTTCTTCTTCAGCTGTTAAATTCCTAGTCATACTCTTTAAGTTGTTTAGAGATTGACATGAAGTATTTTCATTCTTCCACATATTTTATTCTTATTAGTTTTCTATCATCTCTTCATCTTTTCTCTTGCTTTTTATTCCAACATTTTAGCGGATTTTTCTTCTTCTTCAGCTGTTAAATTCCTAGTCAGACTCTTTAAGTTGTTTTTAGAGATTATGACATGAAGTATTTTCATTCTTCCACATATTTTATTCTTATTAGTTTTCTATCATCTCTTCATCTTTCTCTTGCTTTTTATTCCAACATTTTAGCGGATTTTCTTCTTCTTCTTCTTTTGTTAAATTCCTAGTGAGACTCTTTAAGTTGTTTAGAGATTATGACATGAAGTATTTTTTCATTCTTCCACATATTTTTATTCTTATTTGTTTTCTATCATCTCTTCATCTTTCTCTTGCATTTTTTATTCCAACATTTTCATCTTTCTCTTTTTATTCCAACATTTTGATTTTCTTCTTCTTCAGCTGTTAAATTCCTAGTCATACTCTTTAAGTTGTTTAGAGATTATGACATTTAAGTATTTTCATTCTTCCACATATTTTTTTTATTAGTTTTCTATCATCTCTTCATCTTTCTCTTGCTCTTTTTTTATTCCAACATTTTAGCGGATTTCTTCTTCTTCAGCTGTTAAATTCCTAGTCATACTCTTTAAGTTGTTTAGAGATTATGACATGAAGTATTTTCATTCTTCCACATATTTTATTCTTATTAGTTTTCTATCATCTCTTCATCTTTCTCTTGCTTTTTTATTCCAACATTTTAGCGGTTTCTTCTTCTTCTTCAGCTGTTAAATTCCTAGTCAAACTCTTTAAGTTGTTTAGAGATTATGACATGAAGTATTTTCATTCTTCCACATATTTTATTCTTATTAGTTTTCTATCATCTCTTCATCTTTCTCTTGCTTTTTATTCCAACATTTTGCGGATTTCTTCTTCTTCAGCTGTTAAATTCCTAGTCAAACTCTTTTAAGTTGTTTAGAGATTATGACATGAAGTATTTTTTCATTAGTTTTTCTTCTTCATCTTTTTATTCTTATTCCAACATTTTAGTTTTCTTCTTATCATCTCTTCATCTTTCTCTTGCATAGTTTTTATTCCAACATTTTATGTTTTTCTTCATTCTTCATCTTTCTCTTAAATTCCAACATCTAGATTTCTTCTTCTTTTTCACATTTGTTTAGAGACTCTTTAAGTTGTTTTCTATTTTCATTCTTCCACATATTTTATTCTTATTAGTTTTTATCATCTCTTCATCTTTCTCTTGCTTTTTTATTCCAACATTTTGATTTCTTCTTCTTCTTCAGCTGTTAAATTCCTAGTCATACTCTTTAAGTTGTTTCCCATATTTTCATTCTTTCACATATTTTATTCTTTTTTAGTTTTTTATCATCTCTTCATCTTTCTCTTGCTTTTTTATTCCAACATTTTAGCGGATTTTCTTCTTCTTCTTCAGCTGTTAAATTCTAGTCATACTCTTTAAGTTGTTTAGAGATTATGACATGAAGTATTTTCATTCTTCCACATATTTTATTCTTATTAGTTTTCTATCATCTTCATCTTTCTCTTGCTTTTTATTCCAACATTTTAGTTTTTTCTTCTTCTTCAGCTGTTAAATTCCTAGTCATACTCTTTTAAGTTGTTTAGAGATTATGACATGAAGTATTTTCATTCTTCCACATATTTTATTCTTATTAGTTTTCTATCATCTCTTCATCTTTCTCTTTGCTTTTTTATTCCAACATTTTAGCGGGATTTCTTCTTCTTCAGCTGTTAAATTCCTAGTCATACTCTTTAAGTTGTTTAGAGATTATGACATGAAGTATTTTCATTCTTCCACATATTTTATTCTTATTTGTTTTCTATCATCTCTTCATCTTTCTCTTGCTTTTTTATTCCAACATTTTTAGTTTTTTCTTCTTCTTCAGCTGTTAAATTCCTAGTCATACTCTTTAAGTTGTTTAGAGATTATGACATGAAGTATTTTCATTCTTCCACATATTTTATTCTTATTAGTTTTCTATCATCTCTTCATCTTTTCTCTTTTTTTATTCCAATTTTTTAGCGGATTTCTTCTTCTTCAGCTGTTAAATTCTAGTCATACTCTTTAAGTTGTTTAGAGATTATGACATAAGTATTTTCATTCTTCCACATATTTTATTCTTATTAGTTTTCTATCATCTCTTCATCTTTCTCTTGCTTTTTATTCCAACATTTTAGCGGTTTTTTCTTCTTCTTCAGCTGTTAAATTCCTAGTCATTTCTTTAAGTTGTTTAGAGATTATGACATGAAGTATTTTCATTCTTCCACATATTTTATTCTTATTAGTTTTCTATCATCTCTTCATCTTTTCTTGCTTTTATTCCAACATTTTGCGGATTTCTTCTTCTTCAGCTGTTAAATTCCTAGTCATACTTTTTAAGTTGTTTAGAGATTATGACATGAAGTATTTTCATTCTTCCACATATTTTATTCTTATTAGTTTTCTATCATCTCTTCATCTTTCTCTTGCTTTTTTATTCCAACATTTTTAGTTGGATTTCTTCTTCTTCTTCAGCTGTTAAATTCCTAGTCATACTCTTTAAGTTGTTTAGAGATTATGACATGAAGTATTTTCATTCTTCCACATATTTTATTCTTATTAGTTTTCTATCATCTCTTCATCTTTCTCTTGCTTTTTATTCCAACATTTTAGGGATTTCTTCTTCTTCAGCTGTTAAATTCCTAGTCATATTCTTTAAGTTGTTTAGAGATTATGACATGAAGTATTTTCATTCTTCCACATATTTTATTCTTATTAGTTTTCTATCATCTCTTCATCTTTCTCTTGCTTTTTTATTCCAACATTTTGTGGATTTCTTCTTCTTCAGCTGTTAAATTCCTAGTCATACTCTTTAAGTTGTTTTAGAGATTATGACATGAAGTATTTTCATTCTTCCACATATTTTATTCTTATTAGTTTTCTATCATCTCTTCATCTTTCTCTTTTTTTTTTATTCCAACATTTTTAGCGGATTTCTTCTTCTTCTTCAGCTGTTAAATTCCTAGTCAAACTCTTTAAGTTGTTTAGAGATTATGACATGAAGTATTTTCATTCTTCCACATATTTTATTCTTATTAGTTTTCTATCATCTCTTCATCTTTCTCTTGCTTTTTATTCCAACATTTTAGGGATTTCTTCTTCTTCAGTTGTTAAATTCCTAGTCTTCTCTTTTTGTTTTTTGCTTTTTCATTCTTCCACATATTTTATTCTTATTAGTTTTCTATCATCTCTTCATCTTTTCTTGCTTTTTATTCCAACATTTTAGCGGATTTCTTCTTCTTCTTCAGCTTTAAATTCCTAGTCATATTCTTTAAGTTGTTTAGAGATTATGACATGAAGTATTTTCATTCTTCCACATATTTTATTCTTATTAGTTTTCTATCATCTCTTCATCTTTCTCTTGCTTTTTTATTCCAACATTTTAGCGGATTTCTTCTTCTTCAGCTGTTAAATTCTAGTCATACTCTTTAAGTTGTTTAGAGATTATGACATGAAGTATTTTCATTCTTCCACATATTTTATTCTTATTAGTTTTCTATCATCTCTTCATCTTTCTCTTGCTTTTTATTCCAACATTTTAGGGGATTTCTTCTTCTTCGGCTGTTAAATTCCTAGTCATACTCTTTAAGTTGTTTAGAGATTATGACATGAAGTATTTTCATTCTTCCACATATTTTTATTCTTATTAGTTTTCTATCATCTCTTCATCTTTCTCTTGCTTTTTATTCCAACATTTTAGGATTTCTTCTTCTTCAGCTGTTAAATTCCTAGTCATATTCTTTAAGTTGTTTTAGAGATTATGACATGAAGTATTTTCATTCTTCCACATATTTTATTCTTATTAGTTTTCTATCATCTCTTCATCTTTCTGTTAAATCTAATATATTCTTTTTGAAGTTCTTTAGAGATTATTTAGCATTTTTTTATCCTTCCACATATTTATTTTTTTTTTTATTCAACATTTTAGCGGATTTTCTTTCTTCAGCTGTTAAATTCTAGTCATACTCTTTTTTGTTTTCGAGATTTGAAGTATTTTCATTCTTCCATATATTTTATCATCATCTCTTCATCTTTCTCTTGCTTTTTTTATTCCAACATTTTGGATTTTCTTCTTCTTCAGCTGTTAAATTCCTAGTCATATTCTTTAAGTTGTTTAGAGATTATGACATGAAGTATTTTCATTCTTCCACATATTTTATTCTTATTAGTTTTCTATCATCTCTTCATCTTTCTCTTGCTTTTTTATTCCAACATTTTAGCGGATTTCTTCTTCTTCAGCTGTTAAATTCCTAGTCATACTCTTTAAGTTGTTTAGAGATTATGACATGAAGTATTTTCATTCTTCCACATATTTTATTCTTATTAGTTTTCTATCATCTCTTCATCTTTCTCTTGCTTTTTATTCCAACATTTTAGCGGATTTTCTTCTTCTTCAGCTGTTAAATTCTAGTCATATTCTTTAAGTTGTTTTAGAGATTATGACATGAAGTATTTTCATTCTTCCACATATTTTATTCTTATTAGTTTTCTATCATCTCTTCATCTTTTCTCTTTGCTTTTTATTCCAACATTTTTAGTTTTTCTTCTTCTTCAGCTGTTAAATTCCTAGTCAAACTCTTTGTTGTTTAGAGTTGTGACATGAGATTTTCATGATATATTTTATTCTTATTAGTTTTCTATCATCTTTCATCTTTTCCTTTCTTCCAATATTTTATTCTGTTAAATTCCTAGTCAAACTCTTTTTTTTTAGAGATTATCATTTTCATTCTTCATCTTATTAGTTTTTTCTCTTGCTTTTTATTCCAACATTTTAGCGGATTTCTTCTTCTTCTTCAGCTGTTAAATTCCTAGTCATACTCTTTAAGTTGTTTAGAGATTATGACATGAAGTATTTTCATTCTTCCACATATTTTTATTCTTATTAGTTTTCTATCATCTCTTCATCTTTCTCTTGCTTTTTATTCCAACATTTTAGCGGATTTCTTCTTCTTCAGCTGTTAAATTCCTAGTCATACTCTTTTAAGTTGTTTAGAGATTATGACATGAAGTATTTTCATTCTTCACATATTTTATTCTTATTAGTTTTTTCTATCATCTCTTCATCTTTCTCTTGCTTTTTTTTATTCAACATTTTTCATTAGTTTTCTTCTTCTTCAGCTGTTAAATTCTAGTCATAAATTCTTTATATTCTTTGTTGTTTAGAGATTATGACATGAAGTATTTTCATTCTTCCACATTTTTTATTCTTATTAGTTTTCTATCATCTCTTCATCTTTCTCTTTGCATGAAGTATTTTTTATTCCAACATTTTAGCGGTTCTTTTCTTCTTCTTCAGCTGTTAAATTCCTAGTCATATTCTTTAAGTTGTTTAGAGATTATGACATGAAGTATTTTCATTCTTCCACATATTTTATTCTTATTAGTTTTCTATCATCTCTTCATCTTTCTCTTGCTTTTTATTCCAACATTTTAGCGGATTTCTTCTTCTTCAGCTGTTAAATTCCTAGTCATACTCTTTAAGTTGTTTAGAGATTATGACATGAAGTATTTTCATTCTTCCACATATTTTATTCTTATTAGTTTTCTATCATCTCTTCATCTTTCTCTTGCTTTTTATTCCAACATTTTAGCGGATTTCTTCTTCTTCTTCAGCTGTTAAATTCCTAGTCATACTCTTTAAGTTGTTTAGAGATTATGACATGAAGTATTTTCATTCTTCCACATATTTTATTCTTATTAGTTTTCTATCATCTCTTCATCTTTTCTCTTTGCTTTTTATTCCAACATTTTAGCGGATTTCTTCTTCTTCAGCTGTTAAATTCTAGTCATACTCTTTTAAGTTGTTTAGAGATTATGACATGAAGTATTTTCATTCTTCCACATATTTTATTCTTATTAGTTTTCTATCATCTCTTCATCTTTCTCTTGCTTTTTATTCCAACATTTTTAGTGGATTTTTCTTCTTCAGCTGTTAAATTCCTAGTCATATTCTTTTAAGTTGTTTAGAGTTATTTAGAGATTATGACATATTTTATGAAGTTTTCTATCATTTTCATTCTTCCAACATTTTATTTTATTCTTAGTTGTTTAGTTTTCTATCATTCTTCATATTTTATTCTTCATCTTTCTCTTTGCTTTTTTATTCCAACATTTTAGCGGATTTCTTCTTCTTCAGCTGTTAAATTCCTAGTCATATTCTTTTAAGTTGTTTAGAGATTATGACATGAAGTATTTTCATTCTTCCACATATTTTTATTCTTATTAGTTTTCTATCATCTCTTCATCTTTTCTTGCTTTTTATTCCAACATTTTTGGATTTCTTCTTCTTCAGCTGTTAAATTCCTAGTCATACTCTTTTTGTTGTTTAGAGATTATGACATGAAGTATTTTCATTCTTCCACATATTTTATTCTTATTAGTTTTCTATCATCTCTTCATCTTTCTCTTGCTTTTTATTCCAACATTTTAGCGGATTTCTTCTTCTTCAGCTGTTAAATTCCTAGTCATACTCTTTAAGTTGTTTAGAGATTATGACATGAAGTATTTTCATTCTTCCACATATTTTATTCTTATTAGTTTTCTATCATCTCTTCATCTTTCTCTTGCTTTTTATTCCAACATTTTAGCGGATTTTTCTTCTTCTTCAGCTGTTAAATTCCTAGTCATATTCTTTAAGTTGTTTTAGAGATTATGACATGAAGTATTTTCATTCTTCCACATATTTTATTCTTATTAGTTTTTCATCTATCATCTTTTCTTCATCATTTTCTCTTTGCTTTTTTATTCCAACATTTTAGACGGATTTCTTCATTTTTCTTCTTCAGTTTTCTATCATGTTAAATTCCTTTTTTCCAACTTATTTTTAGCGGATTTCTTCTTCTTTTTTCATAGTTGTTTTAAGAGATTATGACATGAAGTATTTTCATTCTTCCACATATTTTATTCTTATTAGTTTTCTATCATCTCTTCATCTTTCTCTTTTTTTTTATTCCAACATTTTAGTTGGGATTTTTCTTCTTCTTCAGCTGTTAAATTCCTAGTCATACTCTTTGTTGTTTAGAGATTATGACATGAAGTATTTTCATTCTTCCACATATTTTATTCTTATTAGTTTTTCTATCATCTCTTCATCTTTCTCTTGCTTTTTATTCAACAACATTTTTTAGTCTTATTCTTTAAGTTGTTTAGAGATTTCATGAAGTATTTTTCTTCTTCTTCAGTTGTTAAATCTTTTCTTTTAGTCAAACTCTTTTGTTAAATTCCTAGTCATATTCTTTGTTGTTTAGAGATTATGACATGAAGTATTTTCATTCTTCCACATATTTTATTCTTATTAGTTTTCTATCATCTCTTCATCTTTTCTCTTTTGCTTTTTTATTCCAACATTTTAGCGGATTTCTTTTCTTTTCTTCTTCATATTTTTGTTGTTTGTTAAATTCTTCATATTTTATTCTTATTAGTCATCATCTCTTCACTTTTTTTATTTAGCGGTTGTTTAGAGATTATGACATGAAGTATTTTCATTCTTCCACATATTTTTTATTCTTATTAGTTTTCTATCATCTCTTCATCATTTCTCTTGCTTTTATTCCAACATTTTTTAGCGGATTTTCTTCTTCTTCAGCTGTTAAATTTTAGTCAAACTCTTTAAGTTGTTTAGAGATTATTATGACATGAAGTATTTTCATTCTTCCATATTTTATTCTTATTAGTTTTTATCATCTCTTCATCTTTCTCTTGCTTTTTATTCCAACATTTTAGCGGATTTCTTCTTCTTCTTCAGCTGTTAAATTCCTAGTCAAACTTTTAAGTTGTTTAGAGATTATGACATGAAGTATTTTCATTCTTCCACATATTTTATTCTTATTAGTTTTCTATCATCTCTTCATCTTTCTCTTGCTTTTTATTCCAACATTTTAGGGGATTTCTTCTTCTTCAGCTGTTAAATTCCTAGTCAAACTCTTTAAGTTGTTTAGAGATTATGACATGAAGTATTTTCATTCTTCCACATATTTTATTCTTATTAGTTTTCTATCATCTCTTCATCTTTCTCTTGCTTTTTATTCCAACATTTTAGCGGGATTTCTTCTTCTTCAGCTGTTAAATTCCTAGTCATACTCTTTTAAGTTGTTTAGAGATTATGACATGAAGTATTTTCATTCTTCCACATATTTTATTCTTATTAGTTTTCTATCATCTCTTCATCTTTCTCTTGCTTTTTATTCCAACATTTTAGCGGATTTCTTCTTCTTCAGCTGTTAAATTCCTAGTCATATTCTTGAAGTTGTTTAGAGATTATGACATGAAGTATTTTCATCCTTCCACATATTATATTCTTATTTGTTTTCTATAGTCTCTTCATCTTTCTCTTGCTTTTTATTCCAACATTTTAGCGGATTTCTTCTTCTTCAGCTGTTAAATTCCTAGTCATACTCTTTAAGTTGTTTCGAGATTATGACATGAAGTATTTTCATTCTTCCACATATTTTATTCTTATTAGTTTTCTATCATCTCATCATCTTTCTCTTGCTTTTTATTCCAACATTTTTAGGGATTTTCTTTCTTCTTCTTTGTTCCAACACTCTTTTTATGACATGAAGTATTTTCATTCTTCCACATATTTTATTCTTATTTTTTCTATCATCTCTTCTTCATCTTTCTTTGCTTTTTTATTCCAACATTTTATATTTTTTCTTCTTCTTCAGTTGTTAAATTCCTAGATTCTTTTAAGTTGTTTAGAGATTATGACAGAAGTTTTCATTCTTCCACATATTTTATTCTTATTAGTTTTCTATCATCTCTTCATCTTTCTCTTGCTTTTTATTCCAACATTTTAGCGGATTTCTTCTTCTTCAGCTGTTAAATTCCTAGTCATATTCTTTAAGTTGTTTAGAGATTATGACATGAAGTATTTTCATTCTTCCACATATTTTATTCTTATTAGTTTTCTATCATCTCTTCATCTTTCTCTTGCTTTTTATTCCAACATTTTAGCGGATTTCTTCTTCTTCAGCTGTTAAATTACTAGTCATATTCTTTAAGTTGTTTAGAGATTATGACATGAAGTATTTTCATTCTTCCACATATTTTATTCTTATTAGTTTTCTATCATCTCTTCATCTTTCTCTTGCTTTTTTATTCCAACATTTTAGCGGATTTCTTCTTCTTCAGCTGTTAAATTCCTAGTCATACTTTTTTAAGTTGTTTAGAGATTATGACATGAAGTATTTTCATTCTTCCACATATTTTATTCTTATTAGTTTTCTATCATCTCTTCATCTTTCTCTTGCTTTTATTCCAACATTTTAGCGGATTTTCTTCTTCTTCAGCTGTTAAATTCCTAGTCATATTCTTTAAGTTGTTTAGAGATTATGACATGAAGTATTTTCATTCTTCCACATATTTTATTCTTATTAGTTTTCATCATCTCTTCATCTTTCTCTTGCTTTTTTATTCCAACATTTTAGCGGATTTTTCTTCTTCTTCAGTTGTTAAATTCCTAGTCATACTCTTTTGTTGTTTAGAGATTATGACATGAAGTATTTTCATTCTTCCACATATTTTATTCTTATTAGTTTTCTATCATCATCTCTTCATCATTTGGTTTTCTCTTGCTTTTTATTCCAACATTTTACATATTATTTTTTCTTATTAGTTTTTCTTCTTCAGCTTTTTTGTTAAATTCTAGTAAATACTCTTTTTAAGTTGTTTAGAGATTATGACATGAAGTATTTTCATTCTTCCACATATTTTATTCTTATTAGTTTTCTATCATCTCTTCATCTTTCTGCTTTTTTATTCCAACATTTTGGATTTCTTCTTCTTCAGCTGTTAAATTCCTAGTCATACTCTTTAAGTTGTTTAGAGATTATGACATGAAGTATTTTCATTCTTCCACATATTTTATTTTTTTTTCTATCATTCTTCATCTTTTTCTTTTTATCATTTTCTTCTTCAGCTGTTAAATCTTTTCTCTTTAAGTTGTTTAGGAGATTATGACTTTTAGATTTTTTTTCTTTTTTTTATCCAACATTTTTTTATTCCAACGGATTTTCTTCTTCTTCAGCTGTTAAATTCTAGTCATACTCTTTAAGTTGTTTAGAGATTATGACATGAAGTATTTTCATTCTTCCACATATTTTATTCTTATTAGTTTTCTATCATCTCTTCATCTTTCTCTTGCTTTTTATTCCAACATTTTAGCGGATTTCTTCTTCTTCAGCTGTTAAATTCCTAGTCATACTCTTTAAGTTGTTTAGAGATTATGACATGAAGTATTTTCATTCTTCCACATATTTTATTCTTATTAGTTTTCTATCATCTCTTCATCTTTCTCTTGCTTTTTATTCCAACATTTTAGCGGATTTCTCCTTCTTCTTCAGCTGTTAAACTCCTAGTCAAACTCTATTAGTTGTTTAGAGATTATGACATGAAGTATTTTCATTCTTCCACATATTTTATTCTTATTTGTTTTCATGAGATTCTGAACGTGTCTTTTGCTTATTATCAAAATATGTGAGTTTATTTTTCATTGATTATTCTTTAGATTGGCTATGACAGAAATAAATTAGATTTTCTTCTTTTATTTTTCTCTCTGTGAATTTCCTTCTCGTTTTACTATATATTGTCGACGTATTAATCATAACTTTAATCATAAGTTTTTCTTCTATGTACCATGTTGTTTATCACAGTTTCTCCGCAACTCTTTGGCGTTTGTTGCTGTTAATAAATGTTGTGTTTCTTCTATCTCTTTTAAACCTTGTACTGCCATTCATTTACTCAAACTCGATAGATAGGTTATACCTAGTTTTCCTCTTGCCTTTATTCTATCCTGGGAGCAACAAATTTTCCTGACCCTCTTTCTTGATTATGTGCCACAGAAGTTCCCACCGTATTTTTGTGATGTTATGTATAAGTGTCCTTTTGTTTGCATATTCTCTAGAAGTTCGTCGCTTCTCACATATTCGGTCCATTGTATCCTCAGCATCCTTCTGTAGAATCTTCTTTCTATCTATTTGCAGAAGAAGAAGAAGAAGGAGGAGGAGGAGGAGGATAAGACGAAGAAAAAGAAGAAAAGGGGAGAAGGAAGAAGAGGACGAAAATAATTTGAAGTAAAATAATTTTGAGGTGAAGGATTTGGAGAGGAAGAAGACGAAGGGATTATCTGAAGAAGAAGAATTTGAAGAATTTGAAGAATTTGAAGAAGAAGAAGAAGAAGAAGAAGAAGAAGAATATTTGAAGAAAAGGAAGAATTTGTTTGAAGATTTAATCACAAATATTTAATAATATTTAAACGCATAATGTTTCTTTCTGTTTAAATTCTCTCCAAAGATATTTTAAAAAATATCAAAATATAGATATGAATAAATGTTACTTTTTCTTGGATAGTCAATTATTGATTGCCTTTAATTATATTTTGTAAATTAATTTAATTCCTTGGATTTATTAAAGCATCTACAGACATTAAATTTCTTCTGTGATTTTTTTATGGGTTTGTTTTTCTATAACGAGAACGAAACAAGCGTGAAAATCGTTAAGTTCGAGAATCATACAGACAACGAGGATATGAAGAAGTTCTTTATCTGCAATAAGATTAGATATTTGCAGAGAAGCTGAGAAGATGATTTAAGCATTGTTTTCTTTTTGTTGCACAGTCTCAGGTTAACAACCGTGCAATTGTTTGGCTTAGTGATAAAAACAACGCCCGGGAGAAAAACAATAATTTTAATAGAAAAGGGAGTGCTATAGATAAACTGGTAATAGCAGAAGCAACAAGGAACGAAATAAGAGATATATACAAAAAGAGTATCTATCTATCTATCTATCTATCTATCTATCTATGTAATTTTATTCAACTCTAATTTTATTCATATCTATCTATCTATCTATCTATCTAATTTTATCCATATCTATCTAATTTTATTCATATCTAAATTTATTCATATCTATCAATCTATCTATCTATCCATCTAATTTTATTCATATCTGTCTATCTATATATCTATCTATCTATCTACATGCACGTGTGTGTGTATATGCCTCGGTGTGTGTGTATGCCTGTGTGTGTGTCATGTAAAAGATTAAATCTTTGATGACTGAAATTGTCAATTCGGCACCTATATATTTTTCTTGTGTTCGTAGAAGTATTTTCTTTTCTGTACATAAAATATGTAAACATTGTTCAAATGTTCTGGATATCCGAGCACTTTCGGCTATTCTATTAACCATTATCAAGGTCGTTTTTTATTTATTTATTTTTAAACTTTAATGTTTATATTTTTTATGTTTCCAGAGTGATGGGAATGTTTTATTACTTTCCAAAGACGGTCAGCACATTGTGGCCGTGTTCATAGTTGATATTATTAATTGTTGGCTTTTTCTTATTTATTATTAGTGCTTCTTTTATTTATAGATTTTTATTACATTGATGAAGTTATTACATTTGTATTTTCTACAGGTATGTTGCAGATGGAGTTTGGTATGTTTTCATGTGTGTTTAAATGAGTTCTAATTGAGCTATGGCCAGAGAGGTGTTATGTGAGTCTTCTTGATAGGCATTTAATGGTATGTTCAATATAATTATTCATGAATTTGGTTAGATCAAGGTTATCTTCTTTAAATTATTAGTTTAGTCTCTCTTTGAATTCATTCTTTGCTACCATAATTATCAGCACTGTATATATGTTTACCAATTCTATTTAGTAAATTATTTTATATAAGTCATTGTCATTCTTTCATTATAGCATACCCTAATAAACAATAATCAAGCCCAGTAGACAAAAAGTGCTCCTGAAAACATCCTTTGCAGACATTCTGTACAACTATTTTCAGAGTTTATGTATGACCCCTTTTTTGAGCATTGGTGAACAAAAGTACAGAAGGTTCAACAATCTTTCTATAAGTTGCATGATATAGTTAAAATACATTGTTCTCTATAAAAAAAAAAAAAACCTCTTCATTATAGCGTACCTAATAAACATTATTATTAGTGCTTCCTTTATTTATAGTTTTTTATTACATGTGGTTGTGGTTATTATACAAATATTTTCTGCAAGTATGTTGCAGATGGAGTTTGTTAGATGTCCGTATGTGTTTAAATGGATCCTAATAAGTAATTTCTGGGTACATGCCAAACAAAACTCGGTGTCTACACGGACACATATGAGTAAAATTACGATGAGAATCCGAAGGAATGATAAATATATAAGACGATATGAAAAATTTCTATTTTGATATGTTTCACCAATGAATCGTTTTCATCAGATAAAACAATTTTACTTCAACAAAATCTACATTACAAAACCTAAATTACGTTAAGCGGCTGGACACTAGATTTTTTTAGTTTAACTGTATCCTCATTGAAATTATATTTTAACGAATTTTAACTCAGTTTTTATTTTCATCGATTTATTTTATTTTATATTTAAAGTTTATCTATCAATATTTTTTTAAAATACTAATGACATATCATTGTTATATATTAATCGTAAGGGATTGGAAGATAATGTCACAGTAAATTGCTCATTTTTCTGTCTTTTCTTTCTTTTTAAAAAGCGTTTGGCAGGTAAAAAACTCTATCTATAAAAGACAGGATGTGTGTGTGTGTGTGTGTGTGTGTGTGTGTGTGTGTGTGTGTGTGTGTGTGTGTGTGTGTGTGTGTGTGTGTGTGTAAATGCACGGCCGCAATTTTCGACTGATTTGCACCAAAATTTACATGCACATGCTCCAAGTTAGTAGAAAGGCCAAGACCGGCGTTGTATTTCCCAACTCCCATCGATAGTGGAAATAATCGATTTTTTCATGCTTCTACGGTAGTTTTCATGTAGTTTGCGGCCATTTTTTACTGGCCAGATTGAGAGCCTATAGCTGGCTGCCACGAATAGGCAGAAAGATTCTATTGGCCAGCGTGAGAGCCAACAGCTGACTGACACGAATGTTAACTAGCATGCTAGTATGCCAAAAAATCGATAGCTGCATTCGTCACAAGTGGGAAAAATTTAAATCTGCATGGCACTTTACCCCAATTGGCTCATTCGCTTGCTTAAAGTCAACGTTGATTCCGATTTCGCAGAACTGGGTTGGGTGTGAAAAAGTATTTGTTGTTAACATTCTTTTTTCATTCGGTTTTTCCAGTTACTAGTGCTTTTTAAAGCTGATCGTTTTGTGTTCATTTTGTTTAGTTCATTTTTCGTAACAGATTTAATGTTTAGTATAGAGCTTAGAAAAAATTCGCAGTGTGAGATAGGCAAGAAGTAAGGCATGTAGCAACATCAGCACAGCAAAGGGCACTCCTTTAAAGGCAAGGAAGGGTGAAAATATTTTAAGTCAAGTGATAGCGATTGCTGTATGAGTCGTACGATTTTTGAATCAAGCACGGGCAACGCCGGGCCATGCTGCTAGTTGTGAATAAAATAATTTTGGTGGCACACAAATATATTGAATGTATTGTTTAATTTTAAGCCACTTTTAATTTCCTATATTCTTTTCTTTAAATTTAGAGATGTTTTACAGAATGTATATTTTGGAAGCCATTGTGTACTTTCTATTTACAAGACTCCTACTTCTAATTTCATATTAACTCTGTTTTACACTAATTAAATGTTTAACTGATTTTATGGAGTTTATAATCATACAGATTGACTAAATTTAATTCAAGTTCATTAGTCATTAATTCAAGTTCATTAGTCATTAATTCAAGTTCATTAGTCATTAATTCAAGTTCATTAGTCATTAATTCAAGTTCATAGTGTTTTTAGGTAATATAATGTGGCTGATTTTTTGTTTATAATTTTTTCTGTAGTTTTTTGTATTATATACGCATTCAATATTTTCAATACACTTGTCTTCATCAGGTAGATATTCTTTTACTGAAGACGCGAGTTTACTGGCGAAACAGTAGAAAAGAAATCACCGTGTACACACATTTACTTTACCCCATCTAATTCTACTATCAGTCTTTCATTTAAGTATATTAATATAACGTTTAAATACCTATATGAATACATGCACAGAGATATGTCAAATATATTTATGTTGATTTCGTCACACCACTTTTTGGATTTTTATAACACCAACTAAGACACAGACGCACACACACTCACACACACACACACACACACACATACATACATACACACACACACACGCATACACATACATACACACATACATACATACACACACACACGCATACACATACATACATACACACACATACATACACACACACGCATACACACGCATATACGGGAGGGAATGATATATACATTTTTATATAGCAGAACACTTCGTCATTAATTTTCAAAATTTCTAAAAGAACACTTTTCGTTAATTTTATATATACCACATAACACCCTTAGCCTTGGAGCGGGTAGAATGGAGATCAACATGTTTTATGCTTGTCTGAATAATCTTCAAGAAGCGAGAGCAAGAACTAAAAGGTCAGCCAATCTAACAGTAATCTCATTTCACAATCCTCCTCTAGCTGCATATGTGGCCTTTTTTGTAAATCACTAGCGGGTCTTAAGTAGCACTTAAGATTATCGCACAAATATAAATATATATATATATATATATATATATATATATATATATATGCATGTACATGTGTATATATCCGCATATTGAATGATTTTTTTCATGGCTACAGGTGTAATTATTTAATAATGTTCTGCCCTTTGACTGTCTTCTCTTTAAGTGAAAATTTAAACTTTATCTTTTAGTGGCTAGTAGGTTGAGAGATGACCGGAAATATATAATTTTATTTCGCTTGCCTCTACCCCTTTGTTTAATGAATTCTTTGATAGTCTCCCTGCCCAACTGTAGTAGAAGGTCCGGCCTACCCCATAAAATTTGATAAGTATCTGTCGTTGGTGACGGAAAGTTGAAAATTTGTGGAAAGTCACTTGTGCCATGCTCCGAACCTATAAGAAATGGTAAATGTATCATTTTTCAATTATACTTTTCCTGTACTTTGATATGATTCTAAATCCCTTTGACTCAATTTAACTTTAATTCTTTCAATTTAATTTCTCTTTTCCCTTTTCTCTTTCCTTTACCCCTTTTTTATTATTATTATTATTTTTTTTTTAACTCTGAATACTAAAATCTGATATTCCTTCTTGGAGTGGTCACTCCGACTTATACTAAATTAAAACTTAGTATAATCTACACCTCTGAACACAATACACTATTATGAACTATTCCACCTTCAATATATTGATAAATCCACATTCTAACCAATCTCATTGGCTGGGCGTGCTCTTGAGTCTTCTGCGTGAGTCGTCCTAAAGCTGGTAACTTGAACATAATTACTTCTTGACGGTCAAGGTTAAAACGCAAATCTCTACCAATTTCAATGAATACGAATAAGATTTTATACCGGATCGGTCGTCACCCGGGTCAAGGAGGGCCACGTCCCTCAGAGAGGAACCAGTCTGAGGACGAAAAATCTGTCACTGGAACAAACTCTTCCACACACGAAGAGACACTAGATCACCAAACCTGGACTATTGCCAACCTTGGATTAAGTGACTCAATACCAAGTCGACTAATAAAAAGAAAATGAACGAAATGGTCTTGCAAAGAGTATCAACAAGTCATGACATCCTTCTTCACTGCAATCGAAAACCCAGCAAAGAACACCAGCAATAAAACATACCAAATATGGAGAAGTATGGTGGGAACCTCAATCCAAATATGCTTGCCAATGTCCGTAGGGACATTATGCGAAACAATAGACCCTCAAAGATAGAAATAGATAGGATAAAATTAAATATAAGACAAAATACTATGACCTATCACTCAAACTGTAATGATATGAAAGTAGAAATAAGTAATGTGACAGAGGATGAGGTAAAAACTAAAACAAATGAAATACAAAATAACCTCCCAGAAAATCAAATCAAAGACTCTACCTTAAACACAACCTGCAGTTCTCCAGACAATGTCACTGAAGATGACTCCAGGTACAT